GCAGGTTGCCCAGAGAAGCTGTGGGTGTGCCATCATTGGACGTGCTCAAGGTCAGGTTGGACGAGGCTTTGAGCAAGCTGTTCTAGCGAAAGATGTCCCTGCACAGAGCAGAAGGGTTTGACTAGATGATCTTCAAAGGTCTCTTGCAACCCAAAACATTCTGTGACTCTATGATTTGGAAACTACCATATAAGGAAAAGGCTGAAACGCCTGAAATGTTTTCTTGAGTTTCATACCTCCAAGCAGAGTGCCCTTCCATGTACGCCCAGACAGCAGAAGCATAGGATCGAGGGAAATCACAGAACCAGAAGCTGGTACCCCAACCATCACACAGACGCCAGTGTTCATGTTGCAGGAGGCCAGGGCAGCAGTCTGATGGGACAGGCAGGGGAATTAGAGAACGTGCTGATGTGTTTGTCCAAAAAGCGTTCTTTCTGTGCAGTCATTTGACTCTCCCCGTTAATCTGAAAGCACATGCTCCCTGGTGCAGCCAAGATGGAGAGCTCAGTGCCGGTTTGAAGACATGTACGTCGTTTTCTCCCAAGGCCGATAGGCTGCCTTTCTGGGCAAAGAAGTGCCCAGCAGTGCAGGCAGCAGGCAAGGAACTGCCTGCCGGGGTGAATTTTGCCCTGACAGGAGCCTGTGAATGAGCTGGGAGGGAGGACACGTTCGGAAATGCCACCTACCATGGTATCGGCATGCCCAATGACCTCAAAGGAGTAGTCCACGCCATGGCCCGTCATCTCAATGAGGACCTCCTGGATGGGCTTCTTGAAGTCGTGAGGACTGATGCAGTCGGTGGCTCCCAGCTGCCTGGCCTTGGCAAACTTGTCCTTGTTGATATCAACGGCAATGATGCGGGATGCTCCAGCCGCCTTGCAGCCCATGACAACAGAGAGGCCGACTCCTCCGACGCCAAAGACGGCGCAGGTGGAGCCTGGTTTTACCTGCACAACGTGGGGCCCTGTGAGTCTCCAGTGGGAAGAGGAGGTTTGCGTTGCACAGGGTTGGTGAGGGTGTGGGGCGGCTGTGGGGTGCTTGTGCTCTCCACGCCTGAATACCAACCTTGGCGGTGTTGATGGCAGCCCCATAGCCTGTGGGAAACCCACAGCCAAGCAAGCAGACTTTGTCCAGAGGTGCAGCAGCATCTATCTTGGCAACGGCAAACTCCGGGATCACGGTGTATTCTGCAAAGGTGCTGACCCACAGGAAGTGGTGGATCTGCTTCCCTTTGCAAGTGAAGCGGCTGGTCTTGTCAGGCATGTGAAATGCAAAAATGAGGTAACCAGTCCATAGAGGGTGAGGCTTGTGTTTGCCCTGGGCGTGCAGACTGGAAAAATCTGTCTGCCTTGTGTCTGGTGCAGCGGGGTCTGGGGGGCACGTTGGGGCA